TAAAAAACGCAGAGGGAAATATAATATATTTCCCTCTGCGTTTATATTATGTGCCAACTCTGTTTTATTAAGGGTCTCTAGTAAATACTACTTATTATTCTAATTAATTCATATTAAACCAGGTAAAATATAAATTAACTCTTTCTATCTGAATTAGGGCCGGTATTTTTAAGTAAATTTAATATACCGGCCCTTAAACAAAGGTAAAATAAAGTTTTTAATGTATTTATTTACTAATTTAACAATAGTGTTATTTACAATATTTTAAAATAAAACAACACTCAGTTCGGCGAATGCATGAATGGCATAGACGCGTTTGACGGTCGCAGCCGCAACGTACATGTATATACACCAAATTTCTTACCCCATGGGGAAAAATCGAGACGATCGTCTTTAGACGCGATTTCGTCCAATCGTCTTTCAAACGATCGTCTTTCAAACGATCGACTTTCAAACGATTCAATCGGTTGCGTAGGTTAGGCGGTCGGTTGTACAGACGAAATATATATTTGAAATTCTTCTCTATTATAATAAAGAATTTCAAATATACTTTGGAATATTTGGAATTGTCTATTATTCGAAGTAGGTAGGTATCGCCTTTAGAATTATTTTTTTAATTAATAATTATGTCAAAATAAAAATATTTTCTCATCGGTTAAGTTATAACTTAAAATTTTAATTAAAACGATCGTCTTTTTTCGACTATTATTTTAGACGATCGCCTTTTGTATCGTTTATCACTTTAAACGATCGTCTTTAGGGTCGGCTATTATTTTAGACGATTAAAGACGATCGTTTAAATAATTAAACGATTTTGTTTGAAAGTAGACGATCTTCTTCAGACGATAGTTTTTTTTACCAAAGATCGTTTAAAAAATTAAGCGATATCGTTTAAAAATAGACGATCTTCTTCAGACGATCGTCTTTTTTTAAACGATTTTTTCCCATGGGACGCGTTTGTTCAGTAAAAGTGAAATATCTTGAAAAGTTATGAAAATGGGCAAAAAGTGGCAACAGTATAACTTGGCAACATATTTATACACCTTTTCATATAAAAAAGAAATTAATCGGCCATGGCGAAAAATGGCGGATTTGACTTTTGTCCCGTGAAATTGGAAAAAATTACCAAATTTTTGAATTTTATTCTAATACAAATTCTGTGATTATTAAACATTTATATGCTACCAAATTTGTACCCAATATAAAACATTCTTTCCTCTTTAAAACAGCATTTGAATTAATATTGTACCTTCATTACTTTTTGAGATATATTGCTTCAAACACCAAGATTATTTTTAATAAAACAGTAAAAAAAAATGTTAAACTTTGACGGTCTGTATCTTCTAAAGTAAATTTTATTTTCATTCGTAATTCGGGAATCTGAAAGATCATTGTTTTTTCTATACATTTCAATTTCTCAAAAATATGATTTTTCGATACTCCAAATTACGACTTTTGGTGAAGGTCATCCCACAGCGCCGAAGGGGAGCCGAGTTCGGATAAAACCCCATCAGTTTAAAAAACCTTCTTAAACAAATTACATCCGCCAGTTTAAAGCAGCAGCAAATGCCAGAAGAGAAGAGATGCAACGGGCATCTTGCGGACACTTTCTCCCAACGAACAAGAAGATTACGAAGCTTTGGTGAAATATCTAGAACTGCGGTGTTGGAGATGTGGAAAGCTAGGATATATATGAAGGTTTTGCAGAGGAAGCCAGGTAGCGCCGACCACGGTCGGTCTGTTACCAGCATGCCAAGATATCTAACGGGTCGCTTTTCTACACCAGTCCAAAAGCGTTTTTGATGGTTTTATTAATGAAAAATTACATATACAGGTGTGACGAAGACTAGATATTGTCGAAATGTTAAAGATCAAATCTACCAATCGGCGATTACGTACGTAGAAGATACCGCTACTTTTCGTAGAGAAGTGGACATCACGATGGTCATAGGAAACACGAAATTTAAACATCGAGCATTAAGAGCAGCTATCGAAGACGAGGTATTTGTAGGCATGGACATATGAACTCTTTAGGATTTGATCTTAACTTTCAACAAGGAATATTAAGGGAAGAAGTGTTACATCGATCGAAAAAGAAGACGATTCGTGTAATGCTAACAGAAAATGCTTTGATACAGGTACATAGCGAGATAATATTGGAGGCTTTCTTGGATTGTAAAGATCAAAGTATTGATTACAACGAGGTCGGTCTAAGATTTGTAGTAGGAAAGACTTTATTTAATACCTGTCGGAAAAGAAGTGTATGTAAGAGTATAGAATGTTAATGGTTACATGTAAACTTAAAGAAAGGAATTGTTTTGGGGGACTGTTTTTCGGTTTTCTCGATTATTAGAGGCATTCATGAGTCTGCAGTCCCGGTCAAGAAAATGAGCAATGAATTGACGAATCTACTGTCGACTTCTTTGAAGGACTTAAAACCCAATGAAAGGGCCAAGCTAAAAGAGCCAATACACAATTATCAGGATTTATTTGACGACAGACAAGGAAAGAAATATAGAACAAGAACCGACCAGCATTAACACCGGTGAAGCACAACCTATTTGACATTCGGCAAGAAGGTTGCCACTTTCCAAGCGGGAGGAAGGAAGGGTTGATCGAACCCATGGTCTTCCGTAGTGGTATTAGTTAAGAAAAAGGATGGATCAACTCGATTTTGCGTCGATTTTCATCAGCTAAACAACTTGTCGAAGAAGGACAGTTGGCCTCCACCTAGGATCGATGACACATTGACTGGTTCATATATATATTTGACTTCAGATTTGAAAAGCGGTTACTGGCAGGTTGAAACGGCACCAGAAGATAAAGAGAGTGGGTGCAGGACTGTGGCAGTTTCCCTTCATGCCGTTTGGACTATGTAATGTACCTGCAACTTTTGAAATGCTCATGGAACTGGTTTTAAAGGGACTATCTTGGATACATGCTTGGTGTTTCTTGGCGATATCATTATGGTTGAATAATTATTTGAGAAACCTTTTTTCAGCGCATAAGAAGTTTGGGCTTTAAGCTTAGCCCGAAGAAATGTCACTTGTTCCAGAGGGAAGTGCAGTATCTTGGCCATGTCGTTTTAAGTCAAGAAGTGGCAGTGGACAAACAGAAGGTAAAGACTGTGCGGGAATGACCAATAAACTTGATTTAAGAAGCTCTCTTGGATTATGCACCTACTATCGTCGGTACGTACCAGAATTCGCGAAGGTTGCTAAGCCATCGACACCTTTGACAGAGGGAGAGAGACGATTCCAATGGGACGACGAGTGCCAAAAAGCCTTTGAGGACCTGTAAACCGCGTTGTCCAGCTCACCGTTCCTGAGTTATCCTCTCCAGGATGATGGAGTTTTGTCGCAGGTTTAAACTCGACGCGTGTTGTTGGCAGTGGTAAGGTCAGTCGAACACTTTTACAGTACCTATATGCAAAATTTTTTTTGCTGAGAATGGACCATGCTGCTCTAAAATGGATTTTGCAATTTAAGAATCCTGAAGGACAGGTAGCAAGATTGAATGCATAAGAAAAAAGAAGCTGAACGGTTGCGTCTCTTCAGAGAAAATCTAAATATTTAAAGAAACTTAAAGACCATCGCGAAAAAGACGCTGAGAGAATTTTTTTTTCAAAAAATGCTTTATTGAAATCTGATCCTGCATATATTCCTCGCTGGTCAAGCCTCATATTAAACTTCATATCAGTCTCGTCATTTGGTAAGGCAGCCTTACTAACGTCTGAAGAGTTGTCCCATAGGCCTATTATTTTTGTAAAACAACAAAACAACAAAAAAAAAACAAAACCGCCCTAACTCTTAACTCGGTCACAGGAAAGCTGAATTGGACAATAAATTTATCAATAACAAATGACAAAGACTAAACCCATAAATTAAAGAAAACGACCTCAAGAAAAAACGTTAAACGAAACGATACCAAATAAACACTTCAAATCCAAACGAACATTAAATTAAGAAAACATAAACACAGAATATAAACACACAAACCGAATTCTAATGGAATTGGTTATTACATTAGTATACAGTTGAAGTCAAAAATACCACCGGTAACTGTCAAATCGCACACCAACTGTTTAATACAAGATAGGATTGCATCACGAAAGAAAACAGCGGACATAGACAATAATGGTCAAGACGTTGACCACGACCAGTACACTAGGCCCCTGCAGCGAACTAACAACTCCCCAACTTCAAACAGTAATCCCAAATGTTTGGAGTAATACTAACTTCCCGGTCTAGGGGGGATCCCGCTTAGATTTGTGTCGGCGTAATTGTCCCCCAAACACCAAACTGTCTATCCCTCCCGTCCTACCTCCTTCATGACCCTTCTGGGCGTATAGCATCGGCTCGGCGAACCCGGGAATGCCTACTAAAACTATTGGCATTTCGCTCTCGATTCCTAATTAGGGGACAGTACGGTGGCGAAAGAAAATCGGCGCAAGGAAACAGAGGCCTATGCGGGGACCAGGAGCGGTGAGGCAATGAGGCCGGTTATACGTCTCTTATACTCATACAAATATACTCAATTTATTTATTTATTTATTTATTTTTATTTATTTATTTATTTTACACTATAGCTAGCAAAACAGTTCTTCAGAATTGGTACCGCTAATTCTATGTTAATTTGAATTAATTCTTCCATTCTTCTATTCCATTATTTAATCCTTTTTTTAATTAGCATTTATAACTTTCCATTCTAAAAAACTTTACTTCCAAATATCTTCATTTTATTTTTCTAAACCATAAATTTTGATTAATATTTCTGACATCGATGACAATAATAATGTGTAACCGAGCATTTTTATTATACGAGTTATTTTCCGGTATAAAAACGGATACTCCGGCTATTAAAAAGTCATGTCCGGCCTAATATAACGACGAGTCCGGCTTTTGTATATTAGGGCCTGGCAACCCTAATAGCATAATTAAGAACCCTGTACGAAATGTTCTTAGGCATGTTATTCATTTATTTAACCTTTATTTTTTCAGGTCATCCCAAACATTTATGCCCAATTTGCGGTGATACAGCCAATGGAATGCATTATGGAGTATATAGGTAGGTATTCTATTTTTTTGTTGTTATTTGTGCATAAAAATATTAAATATGTAAATATATTGCAATAAACAACGTTTTTATGAATATAAAATAATTATTATTACATTATTTAGAAATCTAAATAAAACAACCCTTGTGGCCTTGAGTTCACGGTTTATTCACCGTGAATTCACCGTGAATAAACCGTCTGTTTGTGACATTTGTAAACGGTAGTTAGACGGTGAATTCACGCACTTTTCACAGTATTTTAATTGTGAATCCACCGTATTTTGGCGGTATATTCACGATGAATTCACAGTGAATTCACGGTGAATAAACGGTGAATAAACCGTGAACTCAAGGCCGCAAGGGTAGGTATATCCTATAGGTTTAACACAATCGACTTTAGCTAGCCATTATTCGTTACTGAGCAGATGAGGATGGAGATGGGGACTTCAAACAATAATTGTAATGGCATAGCTGAACATTAATTATTAATGTTCAGCTATGCCATTACAGTCGCACACTTCCACTAAATATTGCAACCCAACGCTATTTATAGTTAGCTCGCTTGCGTAAGCAGCCGTAAGATGTGCCTATTGCTTAAACAGCTTTACACAGAAATCGACTAATAAAAAAACCGCTAATAAATGGCGTCCAACTTGTTGTTTTTTTCTTTATGATGGCGTCTCAACCTCGTTGATTTTGCGCAGCTACACGAGAGCCCTCTTGCGATATTTGTATTGTATTGGAGTCATTCCAAATAAAAACACCAAATGGGGTGCGCTGCGTGATTTTTTATTTTGATGAAAAAATTTGAGGATGATCTTTTAGGTGTCAAATATGAAAATCCGTTGCCGTTTTAATTTTTTGTTGCTCTACTTTTATTTGGCACCCCTTAGAAGTCTGAAATAGTGTCAATTTCTTACTCTCTTATAAGAGTGGGCCAGAACTTTTTTCCTGTGACAAATATTTAAATAATTTTAATTTTGTTATACTGCCCAGTAAGTGTGTTTTCGATATAAATTATTTTTATACAATTAGTTAATCTCATAAAAGAATGGTAAACCACTAAAGATTCATGATAATTTGCCAATTTTTGTGATTTTTGTCTGGCTCCTGTGCCTATTCTACTGAATTTAGAAGGTTCATTATTTTCAGGTATAAAGTACTTATACAATAGAAAACGTAACTATTATTTTAAGTTTCTAGACTATCAATTTCTTTATTAAAAAAATTATTGAAAATTGATAATTCTCAAAATTAGCCAATTTTGCCCTCAGAAATCATTATGTTGAGGAAAAAATAAAAATCTGAAACTTTCAGGAAATGTAGTCCCCACCTTAATCTTTTCAGTCCAGTTAGTCTTGTTTTGTTATTTTTATTCCTTTAAAAGATATGAGTACATTAGATGCAAAACTCGGTTTTTGCACATTTTAAAAAAATATATATTTTATCTTATTTATGTTCATAACTGCACTGCCCACAGCATAACTAAGTAAACCAGATGCATAAGTTAATATTTGTAGAATAAAATACATTTATAAACTTACCGCAGCTGCAAAACTGCATTTGTCGGATGCAAAACTCGGTATTTGACCAATCACCAATCACGTCGCTAGTATACGCATTAACTGACGGCATAACAATCACCTGATTAATTGTTATTTTTTTGGTATTTGCACTTTTCACTTGCAAAACTTGGTCTTTGAACGAGGAAGATGCAAAACTATGTTTTTAAATCTTTTGATTTCAATTATTTACTAAACTACTTAATTTTAAAGGACTTTTTTTTACTTTTTTGAATAAGAAATAGGAAATCACTTATCCTGCAAATACAGAGTTGTGCATCTAATGTACTCATATATTAATTTTTTTAATGTCCGTTTAGTAGCGATATTGTTAGTTTTATTTATAATTTAAAATTTAGATGGCTTTCATGTTTGGTGGAGAAGTGTCAGAACTGTCAAAAATATTTCATAAATATTATTTGTGCGTATTTATTTGGTAAATTTTGTATATAACATAATATGTAATATTATGTTATATATAAAACTTTTTAAAATCACCAAAGGAATACCACAAATAATAATTATGAAATATTTTTGAGAGTTCTGATATTTTTGGTAGTTATGTTATATTTTATGTATTGAAAAATCATATATATATATATATATATATATATATATATATACATCCTACTATCTATAGAGCGTCCTTACACAAAACATTAATAGAGCGTCCGAAAAATTATTACTTTCACTTTGATCTCAACTGAGCGTCCGTTCATTTCGCCGCGTATATGGCGTCCAATAATATACAAGTACTTTTACTGAACAGTCTTTGGAGCGTCCGTATTTAAAATGCATTTGTTAAAATCTATTAATAGAGCGTCCGACAGCGTTGCCAGGTGAAGCAGTTGGAAGAAGGCGTATATAAATTAAATTAAACTACATTCAAGCGTCCTTTTATTAAAAGAACCGTGTTTCTTTAGACTAATGCGGGGAAATCTCCAAGACCACAAAAATAAATTAACAAAAATGACACTTACCAGATCACAATAAATATGTACATATTTTTTAACAAACCGGTAATTTATTGTTTTAATTATTACGATTTATAATACATTATATATAATGCCTATAGGCATGATAATAATTATTTTAGGTGGATCTTTGTAATAAAATTTAAAAAAAATAGATTTTATCATGCATGCATTTATTCATTGATAGGATCAAAATTTTTGGGGACGCTAAGATTTATTTAACTTAAAATAATGGCACAGTAATTTTATTATTCAACAGCTTAAATAAAAATGTCAATTTTAACTACTAAATCCATTTAAATATGTGCTCTATGCATTTAATCACCAAATTATGGACACAAAAATATACCATTTGTATAAAAAAACTCTTTAACTGTTAAAATGTTTATACACCCAGATAGCACAAGAGGACGTCCATTTCGGGTCCCACATTGGTCCGAACGTCCCAGACCTATATCGGAAGTTTTGGGTACGTCCAGTCTCTTACTTATTAGGGAAAATTAAAGCGGATATACTCGGACGGTCCAAGGACGTAATTTTTGTTTTTTTAGTAATAGAAGCATGGTATTTCCAAAGGGTCTAAGTGCCAAGTTGGTTAAATAATATATTATCATTTAAAAATAGTTTGTCATGCAGAATGACTTAAAAATATTCCAACATTTATATGTGCAAAATATTTGTTTTTCATTGATAACTCCTAATTTTATTTTTGTCACTTAGACTCTTCAATTCTGTAAAGCTTGTCCAATAGTCCCCAATAAAGCATTTCAGGACGGCCAGAGGATGTCTTACTTAGGACCTTCTGGGGACCGACGATTTGGTAACATCAGATGTCCCTGGTACGTCCTGCGGAAGGTTCAGGACTTAATTCGGACATACTCGGGACTTACTATTGTCTAATACAAGATATACTTACGACGTTTCCAGTACTTATTTGTGCTATCTGGGTAACAACAAATAAAAATTGCTTGTATAAACTAACGACATCTACGTTTTTAAATATATTGACAAACATAAAAATGTATCGTTTGTTTTACTAAATTTACTTGTGAAATACATGGATGATACATTATAATTTAGGTAAAAATCTAGGATAAAACGCAATTTTCGTTATTGAGACCCAAACACTGATCTATACTATAAACTGGATAGCGGTGGTGGGGGTATTCTGATTTTTTCATAAGGGATTACCAATATAAGTACTATACCAACTAATTCAAATGTCACTAAATGTCGCTGACACGGTCTTATAAGACCGTGTTACGTACCGTTATTGACATTTGGTAAAACTCTTGTCGGTATAGTATAGTATAGTTACTTAATTTGGCAATCCCTTATAAAAAATCGAAACACCCTCACCACAAGTACACTAACCGCTATCAGTGGGCCCAAATGCGTAAAACTGTGTTTTCTATAGATTGTATGCAATATTATAATAATATTAGGGCCGCTGCACTCACATCTCTTTGAATTTAGCCGCAATAATTGAAATTTGCCATCATAGTTTAGATATTTTTTTTGGATGGTATTGTTTTGTTTTACCAATTTCTCAAGTCTGCAAAACACTAGTTAACAAAAAAAAGTAGAAAGTTTCTTTTACATTTTGTTACTTAAGGTAATAATATAGTGTTTGTAAACACGAAAAACACGAAAACATATCTTCAAAAAGGTAATTAAATTACTCTTCTAACGGTATCCACTTTGTTTTAATATGATAAAGAATGGCCGAGTTACAGTTTAAATTTCATGAAATATAGCTAAAAATCCACCCATGCAAAATAGCTGAAAATCTTAAAAAATAACATGGATTACAAATTTAATACCTTTGGACGATTTACCTTTTTAACCATACCTTGATCGGGCGTGCCCTTCACTCCGGATACTGGTGTAAGTTTTTAAATCATAAATCTAAACAAAAATAAACCGTTACCTAGGTGAATCGCCAAATTCAGAATAAAATACGTTCGTTTTTTGTGTTCAGCACGCCAAAATTACCTTAAAAATGCAGAAAAAAAATCTATCTTCCTAAAATTAAAATTTGTAAACTAGTGTATTTTATTAACAACATACTATTGATAAAAAATAAATAAATAAAAACAGAGGGATATCTAGGAGATGGTAGTTAAATAATAAAATGAAGGTTCTTGCAAACAAAAAAAAAATATTTAGTAGATTTTATAACTATTTTATTATATATATATGCAAACAAATTGTATCAGAATCAGGATGTAAATGCCCAATAGATGGTAAAGTATTTTTAACATGTTCCGCTTTGCATAAAATACTTGAAAGCTGATTCTATAATATAATAAATATAATACAAGTACCTACACAGTTGCCAAATTATGAGGACGCTCCTTTGTAAGAGAAGTAAATGAAAAATGTATACCGCTATACGGCGCGGCGCCCCCTAGTGTCAAATTGCTTGAACTCATAATATACGTATACCGGTCTTTCTACTTTTATTTCATCAACAATAGAGCGTCCGGTCAAATTTTGCCCGAGGGTCAAGAAAATTACCTGGAACCACCCTGTAAAATTTTACACGTGATGTGCATGGGGCGTCCGTATACGGACGCTCTATGCACCCGGACGCTCTATTGAATGTAATTTCGCAATGTATGGACGCTCTATTGGTAGGTGGATGTACATATATATATATATGTAAATGATTATATATTATATACATTATAATGAAGTATTTAATTGTCTAATTGGTGTTTAAAGAAGAAGAATGTAAAAAATATATTTAAGATCCTTATAAATATATATATATATATATATATATATATATATATAACGACTGTACATCCCGATGGATAGAAGTCACTCCGTTAGGAGTTTAATGATTCTTTCGGTGAATCAGTCCTTTGTTTATTTATGTTTCTTCTTGTTAAAGTTTGTTGTGTTTTTTTGCGACTTCAGTAATTTTTGCCCATTGTTTTCTGTTTTGTACTATGTTTTTCCAGTTCTTTATTCCTAGATTATTTATGTCCTTCAGTACTTGTTCTTTCCATCTTATTTTGGGTCTTCCTTTTGGTCGGTTTTCGCCGGGTTTCCAGTTTTTTATTCTTTAAATAATTTCTTCCGGTTTTCTTCTCTCTACATGTCCAAACCATCGGAGTCTTTGTGCTTTTATGAATTTAACTATGTCCTCTCCTTCCCTTATGTTTTCTATTTCGTGGTTCATTAGTTTTCTATATCCTTCGTCTGTTTTAAGTGGTCCCAGTGCCTTTTTAATTATTTTTCTTTCAAAACATTTCATTTTTATTTCGTCTTTGTTTGTAAAGCATGTTGTTTCTGCTGCGTAGGTAAGTTACGATTGGTCTAATTAGGGTTTTATAATTTCTTATTTTTGTTTTTTTGCTTAAGTTTTTATCCGTAATAAACTTTTTGTATTTCCAATATGCTCTGTTTCCTGATTGTATTCTTTCTGCTATTTCTAGGCTTCTATTATTTTTTGTATTTATTTGTACTCCCAAATATTTGAAAGTTTCTACTGCTTCAAATTTACAATCCCCTATTTGAATATGACTTTGGGTTATATCTCTTCTGGCGCTATGCATGTATTTTGTTTTTCCTTGATTTATTTGTAGTCCTATTTCTTTTGCCTTAATAATAATTTTTTGTATAATTTCTTATGGTTTATATCGTTAAGTATAATAAGTAAAATTAATAAAGAGTTAATTTATACGTATATATACGTATATATAAATATAAAAAATGCGTTAAGCAGTTTTTTGTCGGTTTCTTTCACAATTTAAACCAAGATAGTCTTGTTCTATTATTTTGATCCCTTTTAGTAAGGCACTAAATAGTTAAAAGTTGAATGTATGTATTTTAAATGTTAGTGTTGGAAAAAATTTACACAATCTGTAAATAGGTACTTCTTTAAATTTTAGTTTTTAGGTAACTGGATAAAATAAAACATGTTCTTTAAATTTTAGTTTTTAGGTAACTGGATAAAATAAAACATGTTATAATAAAGGGGTTTATTTAGAATATTTTTTGGTTTTTGTTTATTTTTAACAATTTAAAACTTCTCAGAACTTAAATATTTTTTATAAGAAAGAGGTACAAAATTATGATATGTTCTTGCATTTTTAATTGCAATTAAATTCATGAATCACGAACACTCCGTCATTTATTACACTTGCAAACTTGCAAACTTTTTGAAATCACAATTTAAATACACACAAATAAAATTTATGAAATATTTTTGACAGCTCTGACATTTCTCTACCAAACATGAATTGACAAAGTCAAAGCCATCTAAATTTTAAATTATAAATAAAACTAACAATATCGCTACTAAACGGGCATTAAAAAAATTAATATATCTTTTAAATAAGGTGACCAACTATACTCATTTACTGAGTTTTGTACTCTTTTTTCGCAAACCGTACTCTTTTCAAATCCTGTACTCTGAAAGTACTCATTTGTATAATTTTATACTCATTTGTATTTCTAAAACATTTTTTTAGATTATTTTATTTCAATTTTATTAATTAAATATTTAAAATTATTTTGACAGTGATTTGAATTTCACGCGCGCATATTGCTTGCCGTTTCCGGCACAATTGATTAATTATGTACCTGGAGAGATAGATAGATACTACACACCTCTTTTTCTAACAACGAACGATGAGAAAATAGAACTTAACAAAAGATGGGTAAAAATCTTTCGGCATTTTAGAGTAGAACATATCCCACATGAAAATTTAAAAGTTTCAATAGAAATTTCCTTATGTTGTCCAGGCACTAATGCTGCTGTTGAAAGAGTATTTTCACTAGGGAATGATTATTGGAGAAGTGAGAAGTCGAAACTTTCTGTAAAAACATTATCTGCCGTCTTAACAGTCAAATTTAATATGCGGCTACACTAAGCAAAAAAAATCCACTCCGAAGAAAAATATGTTTTTAAAAGAAAATAAGGTTTTTATCGTTTTTTTTTTCACCTATGAAATACTTGCAAAGTGTACTCTTTTTGAACAAAAAATAGTTGGTCACCTTATTTAAAGGAAGAAAAATAACAAAACAAGACTAACTGGACTGAAAAGATGAAGGTGGGGACTACATTTCCTGAAAGTTTCAGATTTTTATTTTTTCCTCAACATAATGATTTCTGAGGGCAAAATTGGCTAATTTTGAGAATTATCAATTTTCAATAATTTTTTTAATAAAGAAATTGATAGTCTAGAAACTTAAAATAATAGTAACGTTTTCTATTGTATAAGTACTTTATACCTGAAAAAAATGAACCTTCTAAATTCAGTAGAATATATGCCTATAGGCACAGGAGCCAGACAAAAATCACAAAAATTGGCAAATTATCATGAATCTTTAGTGGTTTACCATTCTTTTATGAGATTATCTAATTGGATAATAATAATTTATATCGAAAACACACTTACTGAACAGTAAAACAAAATTAAAATTATTTCAATATTTGTCACAGAAAAAAGTTCTGGCCCACTATAAGAGAGTAAGAAATTGACACTATTTCAGACTTCTAAGGGGTGCCAAATAAAAGTAAAGCAACAAAAAATTAAAACGGCAACGGATTTTCATATTTGACACCTAAAAGATCATCCTCAAATTTTTTCATTACAATAAAAAATCATGCAGCGCACTTTTAAATTCATTTTTGGTGTTTTCATTTGGATTGACTCATTGGGAATAACCAATTTGCAGATTGTTCGAATCTTACACTTACAATTTGCGGTGTTTTCACAGTCAATTTACAGTGTTTTCACAGTAAACTCACAGCGCTTTTACGGTGAATTAACGGTGATTTCACGATAAATTTACGGTACTTTCACAGTGAATTTGCGGTTATTTTGAAAACTTGAGTTCACCGTGAATTTACCGTGAATTAACCGTGAAATCACCGTGAATTTATCGCAAAAACAGCCTGAGTTCACCGTTTAATTACCGTCTACAAATGTCACAAATGGACGGTATATTCACTGCACATAAACGGTGAATTCACGCAAACGGTGAATTCACCGTAAACTCAAGGCCGCAAGGGAACTTAAAACCATTTTAAAATGTATACAAAAAATATATTTTATTGGTATTTACATTAATTACAAATTGTAATTTACAAGTTGTAACTTACAACCATAGACGTGGTTACAACATTATTGAATTGTTTAGAAGCTTATACATGGCGGTCAATTTTCTTGAAAACCTGAAAAGCAGGGATTTTTAACTATCTGAATATGTCAAATTATAGATATATTTAGATTTGTGATTAACCTTGTAAAAAAATTATAAAAAGTTTTACTTGTGCTAATAAATTACTCCCTGTCCTTTGTTTCAGCTGTGAGGGATGCAAAGGATTCTTTAAGAGAACATTAAGAAAAGGTATATCATATGCCTGCAGGGATAAAAGAAATTGTATAATTAATAAAAGGCAGAGGAATAGGTAAGAATTAGATATAAAATTGTATTGTATAAAACGAATTCGATATTTGTTTTAGGTGCCAGCATTGTAGATATCAGAAATGTTTACAAATGGGCATGAAGAAAGAAGCTGTGCAAGAAGCAAGACGAAGAACAAAAGATAGAGATACTCCTATTGAATATCAATGGGAAAATAAAATTAGAATGCTCCTTGAAGCTGAGAAAAGAGTGCAATGCAATGATCCATCTGTTTCACATAAAGTAAGAACATTAATTAATAAATAAATATAATCGCGGCTAATTTTTGATAGGCTACCCGGCACAATGTATTACATTATCATTAATTAAGTTTTATAATTCGAACTTTATTTTTTAAAGTAAATTAAACGTTTTAAAATAGAAAATGATGCGAAGATAGTAAAAAAATAATTGCAAACCCCCTGCAACTTTTGGCATTGGGCCCCAACACTTCAACTTTAGAATAAGACGAGATAACAATTTAGCGCAGTAATTAATAATATAATAATAATAATAAAGTTTATTTATCAAATTAAATAAATTTCCAATAAAAATCTATACAATTACATAAATATATTTAAATAAACAAAGTCTGGAATTTTTTTTATTTATTTATTTCCCAAAAAGATTACACAAATAATAATAATAATAATAAACGTCTTTATTTGATAATATATACAATCACATATACATTTCAAAATGGCGAAGTTTGATTTGACATCACTCTTCCACTTAACCACAATTTACAAAAAAAAATAATAATATTACAAAAACACAAAAATGTAATTATATCAGATCCACTATGGTTTATAATTTAGTTTTGAGAGTTGTATAGGAGTTTTTAATTTCTTACGAAAAAGGGTTTGTGGTCGTTTAGACTAACATAAGAATTATGCAGTTTAGAAATCCATCACAGGAATACATTACATAAGCAGATATTAGAAATAACTATACATATCAAATAAATATATATACAAGAATAAATATAAATATTAAGTGGTATAATTTAATAGATATCACATTTAAATATCACATTTTAGAGTCTATATAATATTGCTTCACAGCCTTTGTAAATTTATCTAAGTTGGTCAGTTCCTTTATTTCACCAGGTAATTTATTAAACCATTGTAGTGCTTTATATGTTATTTGTTTTTGTGTAATAAGCATAATAACATTAGTGGTACAAGCAGTAAACGTTGAGTAAAGAATTCTTTAATCAATGCAGTTAGGTAGTAATAGTAAATACCTATACAAAATAACTATGCATTACTTTGAATAACAAAATATAGTGTAATGAATAAATATAATAATTTCAAATATACATGTATATTTATATGTATATAAAACTTTAAAACCAATAATAATAAAAACCATACAATAATAAAAAATAACAATAACAATAGGAACCTGAATGAACTGCTTTGCTAGCCTGTCCAAATTTGTTTTTTCACAGAACTCTTGAACGTGAAAAAAGACTGCATGTATTTTTGGCGTTGTTTTCATTCCCAATTCAAGGAATTCCTAAAAAAACAAAAAATAGGTTAAGTCTTCCTTAAGGAAGACTTAACCTATTTTTTGTTTTTTATAATTTGGATCTAAGGTGACGTTAAAAGTACTTTTCGTCTCATCGTTAAAAGCTTTAAGGCAAGTCATATACGGCAGCAAATTGCAAATTTATTGGTAGATTTTCTTCCAAATAATCAAATTTATCAATAATTTTTTACGTGAGTTTCCTGTAAAGGACCTCCCTTTGAACGTGACAAAGAGTTGCCCACTGATTGCATTCCTCTGGAGGCGCTTTTAACAGGTTGGTGTATAAGGTATTTACAGTACCATAACATAACTTGTTAAATAAAATAAAATAATCATTAGCCAAGAGCAAATGCAGTTAAGGCGGTATTACTAGGATCATGGGTTCGCTCAATTTTTGAGGATTAGGTTCATGGATGCAATTAAAAAAATGCTTAGATTTCTTTGGTTTACTTCCATTTTTAGTCCAGCTTAAATAATGATCTCAAATGTTTGTGAAAGTACGTAGTTCTCCTTCGTTGTTTAAATTTTGCTTTTTTGCTTGGCACCATGCATGTACAGGGAAAAGCGGAGCTGTGCGACATAATGGCCATCAAAATATTTGCCAATTTCAGATCCGTTAAAATACTATATTTTTCCAGTATATGAAACATTAAAACAATTTACTTTCATATTTTTAACAATAGCCAATATAACATTTTTTTTTGACCCCAGAATCTTTTAGGCTAACACGAGTGGCAACTTCATTCGGGCATTTGGATATTTAAACATATTTTAAAAAAGTAACGTCCCCCCTCGAGGCCAATTTTTAAAAGCTGCACATCTTCCTTTATTCTTTGCTTTTGAAAAATAAAATCCAAAAATGCCAAAATGTCTTTACTTTGAATGTTTTCGTGTCCGTTTCCCTGCCCATATATATATATATATATATATATATATATATATATATATTAGGGTGATTTTTTTTTCACGACAATTTTTATTTTTTCGCTCCCAACTCAAAATCTTGTTGAAAATGTTCAAAAAAAATTCCCTGAAAATTTGAGCCCTTAATATTAACTCAAAGTACTCGACCAAAGCGTATAAATATTTCCCATTTAAAATACACGTAAACTTTGATTTTTTTTTTAAATATCTAAATCTCAGCCGCATTTTATGCTATTGGATTGTTTCAAAAAAGGATTTACTCGTAATCAAAAGTTCTACAAAAATGCTTTATGTGCCATAGCTGTAATCTACACATGTAGGATGGTACGGGTCACTAAATCCTATTTTAGTAAAAAATTATCATATTTTTTAAGATATTTCAAAAGTGACTGGATTCTTTGAAAAAATGTAAAGAACAAACTTGTAGAAAATTTAATTTTTTTTAAAAAAGGTCTTATCAGTTGAATCGCTAAGATTGATATTTCTTGAGATATAAAGCGTTTACATTGACAATTTATGAGATTTTTAGGATTTTCGTATCAAACTTTGTATAAATGATGATTTTCAATTGTTTATCAGTAAAATTTCATGTAATTACGTTTTTTCTACAGTCGGGTGATTAGAGAAAAATAAATAACTCAAACAATCAAGCATAATTATTAATAAAATAACATGTTGTATGTAATACACCTCGTTATATCAATTTTTAGGTTAGATATATCTTTTTTCTTTAAAGTTATGTTATTAATAATTATGCTAGATTTTTTAAGTTATTTATTTTTCTCTAATCACCCGACTGTAGAAAAAACGTAATTACATGAAATTTTACTGATAAACAATTGAAAATCATCATTTATACAAAGTTTGATACGAAAATCCTAAAAATTTCATAAATTGTCAATGCAAACGCTTTATATCTCAAGAAATATCAATCTTAGCGATTCAACTGATAGGACCTTTTTTAAAAAAAAATAAATTTTCTACAAGTTTGTTCTTTACATTTTTTCAAAGAATCCAGTCACTTTTGAAATATCTTAAAAAATATGATAATTTTTCACTAAAATAGGATTTAGTGACCCGTACCATCCTACATGTATAGATTACAGCTATGGCACATAAAGCATTTTTGTAGAACTTTTGGTTACGAGTAAATCCTTTTTTGAAACAATCCAATAGCATAAAATGCGGCTGAGATATAGATATTTAAAAAAAAATAATCAAAGTTTACGTGTATTTTAAATGGGAAATCTTTATACGCTTTGGTCGAGTACTTTGAGTTAATATTAAGGGCTCAAATTTTCAGGGAATTTTTTTTTGAACATTTTCAACAAGATTTTGAGTTGGGAGCGAAAAAATAAAAATTGTCGTGAAAAAAAAATCACCCTAATATATATATATATATATATATATTTGTCTACCAAATGCCTTTTTTCTTGTTGTTTTGCCTTAAGATAATTTTCAGTAACTTTTTGACCACTTTTTAAGTAAACACGATGCCAACTTTACGCGTGTAAAAAATGTCATTTTTAGAGGCTGTCTGGCGTGTTAAAATCCTGCTTTTTAGAAAGCAGTAGTAGAAAAACACATTTTTGTTCACAAAAACATAAGGCGCCGTTCAAAAATTTTGGAATTTTTTTTTAATAATTTTATTTTTTTGTCAAACCGTGACATCTGCTACTTTCTGAAAATCAATTTAGATTAGCACAAAATGATTTTTCTCTCTATTTTTTTTAGATTGAAGATCTTGTGGCCTCTACCTCGACAAAAGAAGAATATGTTAAAGATGATAAAGGTAAAGTTGCTATACGACCATTCCAAGCCCAAGGACAGGACACATCAAAAACATGTCTAAATATATTCTTGTTACTTCCTTAAGTTTACTTATTTTTTCTACGAGTATTTATGAGAAGTATTAGCCAAATTTGGCTAATACTTCTCATAAATACTCGTAGAAAAAATAAGTAAACTTAAGGAAGTAACAAGAATATATTTAGACATGTTTCTGATGTGTCCTGTCCATGAGCTTGGAATGGTCGTATAAGTAAGAAATAAAATTGAATTAAACTAACTTTAAAAGCAATTCGTATACACTGCATTGATTAAATCTAATGAAACATTTTGACAATACAATAAAAATGATTATTATATAATAATTACCATAAGACTCATATTTAAAACACCAAAAACTAACATTGCCTATATATTTATTTCAGATCAAAAACGCCATGCAGTAGTAAAAACCGAAGAAGATTCGGAAATTAGTCCTACTGAATATCCTTCTCTTGGTGTTGATATTTTAAATATTCAAGGTAAAATTTATCACTTCAATGATATTTTGTTTAAATCAAAAAAAATCTTTAAATTTGCTCATAAATAAATCCATTTGCAGTTTTTTGTCTCAAAGTATTGTAGTTTTATGAACTTTTGAAGGTGGGGAAATACTTATTGGAAAACCCTTTATTATATTATTATTTTACCTTTACCTTACTTTTTTTTGACTAGACTGAATTTTATTAAACAAAATATTTTTAGATGTAATTAAAGAAGAGACCATTGATGTAACTGAAAACGATTTGGATGAAACAAACTGTACGGAAACATTTGCAAAAAATCAAATTAACCACGAAAAAGAGCATATAGAAAAATGTATAGATGACACAATATGTTATTTAATTAAAAAATATTTAGAAAACAGACATAAACCACAATTTACAGATTATCTTTCAAAAATGTCGTTTCTTGAACAGTTAAAAAAAGAACTTTAGGATAAGACATTTTATATTTCAAATATAATTTTAAAAGAACTGTTGTATAAATATATGTTTTCTATAAAACGTCGTTTTAGTCAATAACAATATTGTTTAATTAAAATCATCCCTCTATTTATTTTAGCTATAGCAAGTTGCAATAATGTTACCCCTGATTATAATAATATTTATTACGCTTAAGCGTGAAATTTTTTTTTTTTTCCGAAAAAGTTTTAATTAGTAAAAATAAGAGTTTTGAGAGTCTTACTTTTTCTTAAAAAAGTCAAAAAAAGACTTGAAATAAGTCTTAGAAGTCAAACTATTATTATAGCAACATTTTGGAGTCTTCTAGAAGAGTTAATAAGACTTTAACCAGATAAATGGTAGCGATAAAAATAACTATCCGAAATTATTCAGAGGTTGTATTTAGTTATTGTAAAATAAAACACGAAGAAAGGTATAGGTAGGTACAGTTACGGAAAGAAGTAATGTCCATTTGAATGCTCCATTGTAATTGTTCGGAGGCATTCGGAAATGGTCAACATCTGCCTCTTAGGGATTTATTTAAAAATATGTTTATATTTAGAATTTACTACCTGCTCGTATTGAATTAATTATTTTGGGTACCTATGTTACATATTTAACTGTATTTTTATTAAATCGTTAATTTTTTGATATATTTTTGTATAGTTTTATAAACATTTATTCTAGGAAAAAACTTTTAATAAGAACTTTTTAGGCTATAAATTATATTATCAAGTTGTAGTTTTTTAAAACTTACTTTACATTTTTCAGAACTAGCAATGATTCAATACACTATTTTAGGAGTAAAAACAAATTTTATTATTTGTTGCACTTTTATGTGTTAAAATTAAAAACATACTCTCTAAAAATGAATTAGTCAAAAATTACTAATTTAATAGTTAATAGTGGCTGCTTTTTCACTTGTACCATGGTTAACCATGGAATACCATGGTATCCCAAAACTAAATAGCCAATTCTTATGTAAAATTATCCCCTGAATCCGAAAATACCGCCAAAAGTTAAAAAAGTAGAACAGTTTTTGAGATATAGTCTATTTTCTATTTAATATGGAATTGACTATATCTCATAAACTGCTTCACTTTCATAATTATTGATGTATTTTCGGATTCAGGGGACAATTTTACATAAGAATTGGCTGTTAAATTTTGGGATACCATGGTATTCCATAGTTAACCACGGTACAAGTGAAAAAGCAGTCAATAATAATTAAAATTTTTATATTTGGTATATTTTTAAATTAAATATAGTAGGATTTATCAAAAAATGTTTAATATAATTATAATATAAAAGTTAACATACCTATAAAACTATAACTTACATATAAAAACTATAAAACATATAAACATAAATAGCTATAAAATTATAAAATATATATTATATAAATATATAAATATTATAAAACTATAAAATATATATTATATATTTCTTCATATTTATTTATTGCTCTTTTATTATATCGACCATTCCAAGCCCATGGACAGGACACATCAAAAACATGTCTAAATATATTCTCATTACTTCCTTAAGTTTACTTATTTTTTCTACGAGTATTCAGAGCTGCAACAAGTCAGTTTTAAAAAGACTTAAATCTTAAGTCTTAAGTCAATTCTAAAATCAAAATGATTTAAATCTTGAGTCAATTCTAAGATAAAGTTCAAATGATTTAAGTATTAAGTCTTTGAATTAAATCATTTTCTTTCAAGTCAAGTCATTTTCGCAAATTCTTAAATCAATATAAAGTGATTTAAGTCATCTTATGACTTAATTCCTTTAGTAAGTCGTTTTTATGACTTAAGTCTATATTTTTTATTTAAATCGTGATCTAAGAGTTAAGTCAATAAAATGACTTGAATCAAAAATTGTGATTTAAATCAAAATAATTACCCTTAAGTCAATACAACGATTTTTTAAATGTTAATAATAACTTTATGGTATTAATAATACTGATATTATTAATATAGTTTAGATACAGATGATAATAAACCACTATGTTAAGAATTTAACACGATTTATTTTCAGAACACTTAGAAACAAAATAAAAACTTATACACATTTTTTGAGTAGACAATCAAAATAAAAACTTAAACCACCTTTTTTAGTAGAGTACATACAGGGAGGCTACTTTTTTATATACATAAATGGGTAACTTCTAAACGGTAATAGATTCAAACTCTGTTAAAATAGATAAAAGTCACAAATTAGACCTAACGCACGCATAACACGACGAATGTTGGCAAACAAAATTATAAATCCGCATTTTTTTAAATTTATTTTAGACAGGACATTTTTTAATGTAGCCGTCAAACGGTTCCGAAAAGCTAACTTTACCGCGGCGGTTTTTTTATTCACTAGCGATAGCAATTGTAGGTAGGAAACTAAAGGAGTTTTTGATCTGCTGCCGCGTGAACCCCTGGCAGATCAAAAGAAAATGCCGCTGTTAAAAATTTATAAAAAAATATATGAAAAATCTGACTTAAATATTTTCTAAAAAGACTTAAATCTTTTTCAAAAAGACTTAAATCTTTTTAAATTACTTAAATAATTTACCGACTTTTATAAAGACTTAAATCTTTTTTTGACTTAAATCGTTTCTATATGACTTAAATCGTATGTACTGATTTAAGCCTTTTATTAATGACTTAAGTTTTTTCTATTTTGAAAAAAATATTTAAGTCACAAATCATTTTGAAAATTATTTAAATTTTAAGTCTTAAGTCAGTTTTAGAGAAATGACTTATTACCAAATGACTTAAGTCATTAAAACGATTTAAGTTTTTTGAGAGCTTGCAGCTCTGCGAGTATTTATGAGAAGTATTAGCCAAATTTGGCTAATACTTCTCATAAATACTCGTAGAAAAAATAAGTAAACTTAAGGAAGTAATAAGAATATATTTAGACATGTTTTTGATGTGTCCTGTCCATGGGCTTGGAATGGCCCATATGTAGGTTAATGTGTAAAAAAATATAAAATATTTATTCTTTAAAGCATAATTAGAGGTATAAGTTAATACTTGCCGAAAGGGCTAATCCTCATCCGGCTTAATAAGAAAAGATTACAATATCTATAGATGTATAAACAGAAAATATATAAATTATATCATAAAAGTAGGTAATAAATTTTATAGCCGAAGTTCTTCCGGACTAAAATGTTAAAAAGTATTTTAATTTAATTTCATATTAATATTTTAAACGTAGGACAATTTATTAAATATTTGATAAAAAATATTATATAATTATTAGACTTATAAGTATAAATACCAAAAAATGGTCCTGTTAAAATGCAAGCTCTTAATATTACATTTACAGGTCCCTCATCGGGAATTTTTATTTCCCATTAAAATAATATGAGATTTTTTAAAATACTTTAAAATTGTATAACTCGTAAACGGATTAGTAAAACTAAAACAAATTTTGGTAGGGCTCTTTTAAAAGGTATTCAAGGTAAAAGTTGAATTTATAGAAATTTTCAAGATTTTCAAACTTTTTCAGCAAAACAAAATTTATGGTAAAATTTAGTAGGATCCTTTTTTAGGAAAATATTATCTAAAACCATAAGCAAAAAAAGCTGCCTTTTTATTTAAAAAGAAATGGTAAATAATTACATTAATAATTATAATTGAAGCATGGCATTCCCAAAGGGTTTGGACCCAATTTGGTCAAATATTATATTATCATTTAAAAATAGTCTATGTGCCATGCAAAACGACTAAAAAAATATTTTCCATATTATTTTTGTATTTTAAAGATGAATGGATTTTCATTAATTTACACAATTTTATTTTTGACACTTAGACCCTTTGGGAATACCAAGTTCAATTATTATAATAATTATAAATTTTTGCCGTTTCCATATTTTATTGGATTTTTATACATTGAAATAAGTTGGTATTGGGCAGATATTTCATAAAACAAGAAATGAAAACTAAAATGTTGATAATAGTATATTATTATACGAGAGATAATGCAGGCTATTATTCAAAAGGATAAGGTTTGCATGTCGAGCCGTCAGGCGAGAGACGTAATTCATCCGAGTAAATAATGCGCATTATTTCGAGTGTAATACTATGTTTGTTCTACTCCAATTAAGAAATTTCCATTGATAACAAAATTTATTTATTATAACCTCACTTTTCTTCTATTTTAAAGATCATTATAGTCGCCCCTCGTATATATAAATAAATCTGACATCTGTCAACCTTACTTTTTTCTAATTTAAAACCCGATTGTTTCAAATATCAGTGAATATTAAAATAAGCCAATCACTGATACCTACAAAGTAAATATAATTCACTTTGATAGACCGGGCGGTTATATTGGTTACCATTATTTACGCAAAAAAAAACAAAAAATATCAATAATATGCAATAGAAGTAGAAAAACGTATTAATAGTGCACAAAATGCATTTTAGTTTAAAATTTTAATGTGTTTAATTTACATAGTAAGAATAAATATTTTAATTTATATTGCCCAGATAACAAAAAATCACATAAAAAGGTAAATACATTAAAGAGGGTTATTAACAATTTTATTTGCAAAATTATGCAAAAGTTTATAATTATTTTAGTATTAAATGTCTATATTTCATTTAAATATATTATTTTATTAATAACAATTGTTAACTTATTAAATAATATATAGTTTATTTAATAAGTTATAGAACATAATATATTATATTTAAACTATTTCAGAATCAATGTTACCTATTCCTTAAATATTTAATTATTGCATAAAAGCTTAAAAGTCAAATGAAATGTGCCTAGAAAGAATGGTAAATAGCAGGTAGGTAGAATTATTGAGTTTAAAAATAGATATGTTAATTTTATTACCAAAACCCGAATGCCTCCGAACAATTACAATGGAGCATTCAAATGGACATTACTTCTTTCCGTAACTGTACATCTCACTTGTAGAATATATTATTATTTAAGGTTTGCGGGTATTTTAGAGAAAATCGGGTATTTTTGTAATGTTTGCGGA